AGCTCTGACCCTGCGGCCGCCGCTCCCTTTTTTTTTTCTTTTTCCAGGTGAGATGGAGAAACACTTGCGCCTCTTTGCAGAGCTGCTGCCCGACTGGGTGGGGATCCACGCCATCAGGACGGACACCTACCTCAAACTGGACAAAGGGAAGGACCTCGGCCTCGTCGCGGAGAGGCTCACCCAGGCGGCGAAGGAGGCAGAAGCCCTCTGAGCCCCTCCGAGGGTCAAAGCTTCCCCCCGTGCAATCTCTTCTACGTGTAGCAAATCCCCTCTGTGCTCTGGTGTGGGCTGATGGGAGGCTCGTCCTCGGGGATGTCTGAGGAAGAGCAAAACGCCTTAATTTAAGCAATTCCTCTGCCAGGGTCCACGAAGAGCGTGGCTCCCCTGATCCTTGGGCTGAAGGCAGGCAGTCCTGCGTCCTGGGGTGACGATGCAAGCGGTGAAGAGGAGCTTTGTAACGTTTTCTCAGCGTTGTGTTCTCCTGAAGGGTTGATGCAGGAGGTTTCTTCCATTAACTGGGCCCTGGTGGGGTGGAGGCAGGACTGGGCTGGGTGAGAAGAGGGTGACAGGCAGGAAGGAGTGAGAGAAGAAGTCAGAAATGGGATGTTTTTGGAGTTGTGGGCCTCGTTCTTTCTGTTTTTAAGGGAGGGAAAAATGCATCTGCAGCACTGGCTGGAAACAACTACAGGACTTGTCAAAACATATTTGTATTAAATGTTTTAAATATAGCTGGCTTGTGTTAACCCAGCGCTCTTCCTCCGTGAGCTGCCTGCCTGTGCCGTGTTAGCCCCGCGGTTCTCCATGGCAATTGGCGTCGGCCGGGACACGCAGGGAAGGGCTGGGTCATCCTCCAGCTCCTGGAGAAAGACTGACTGGAAAAAGTGAGCGTGGGTTTGCAGGGAACTGAATGTGGCTTTTGTAAAGAGGGACAGGAGCAGGCAGGGCTGGGGGTGCGTGCAAGTGTGTGTGTGTGTGGGGGGGCGCTTTTCCCCAGGGGAAAGCCAGGACCACTCGGCTGAAGTGGCTTGGGAAGAGGGACAAAGAGGGTGCTGATGGCTGCGGAGGTGCTGGCCTGGCCCAGCGCCCGGGTCGGGTCAGTGCTC